AGCCTTTTGTGTTACGGCTAAGCCATTGAAACCTCAGTAGTGGATCAGGTATCATGGTTCCGGCTGGAGTACGCATGTGCCTCAGGAACTGTGATGGTGTCCGATCACCTAACTCTTCTCGTTCTAAAAGTTGTTCTTTTTTTAACTTGATGTACTTTTCTTCTGCTGGAGAGTTGGTGAGGATATCCCTCACTTCCGCTGCGTATTTTGCATCTAGGTTACCGCAGACGTAATAGAACTTAGTTTCGTGGACCGTGATCCCCGCTAGAGAAAACTGGGTTTCGATTTGTGCAAACCACAATTCTGGATCTGAGTGCCAGAAAGGAGGGATCTTGACTTGAATTCTGTCTACTGATTGTTCTCCGTTTGACATTTCGGATCACGTCGGGGTCACCAAATGAAGTTGTGAACTCACAAATGCTAGACAATAGTAAAAATATGTGTATTTAGTAAAAAGATAAAGTGAACAATAATAATTGAATGAATTAGTAAACAAATAAATATCATCTGTTAAATGAAGATTTATATACAGGTAAGTAGTCAGGCACTACACTGTTTATTGTATAATGACCATAAAAGTAAATTAATTTATAGCAAAACATAGTTATAAAAATAATATTAACTATTTTTAATATTCAGTTTTATGTCTGTGATTGTCGTGACAACATTTCGTGTTTTTCCATCAAAAATGCTCTATTAATAAAAAATCACCAAAGATATTGCGTTACCATGGAAATTTTATGAAACTTCAAATGTTAATGAAATTAAAAAAATAATAAAAGTTTTAAAAAACGGATCAAAAAATTTTAAAATGCTTTTCCTGAAAACGTACGTTTCAAAATTTTCACTCAGTAAAGGCTAGCAGTGCGGAGTCTGGGGAATGTTTGAGGCAATTATATTAATTGATCTAAAATACTAAAATGCTATGGAAAGAGATGAAAACAGGTCCACGACGTAGGAAGTGGCGTAGGAAGTAGTAAAGTTTAGCATCACAGAGTGTGGGAACCGTGTGTGACAATTTTGTAACCCAGGCCCCGGTTGGGAAGTGATTGTGTTATCAAGCACCCTCACATGTGCCGAGCCAATATGTCCAAGAAGCACTGCCTTCCTACTCTCTCACTCAAAGGCAAAACGTGCGCATCCCAACTGGGCACTCCCTGATCCGACTCTTCCTTCAGGACACTCCCTCCTAAAGGATCAGGGTGCTAAACTGGCAGGCTTCTTTACTATTTCTTTAATTTCTCGCTATTTTATTACTACTCTCTCACTGTCGAGTCCTCTGACTCAAAAATCTGCCTCCAACTATTCTTTTCTCAACTTTATCTTCATTTCCCTATCTAATCATCCCAAGTCAAGGTGGAACAGCATACGCCGAGGACTGCATGGTCAAGGGGGAGCTTGGCCACAAGTATGCGGACTATGCATACCAGGCGACCTCCAGTTTAAAGTAGCCTTCTCCGGGTAAGCGGGGCTCTGCCCGGGGTGACCCACATTTCCCTAGCTACTCGTGGGACCAACATGGAAAACAACTCAAACAAAAAAGAAAAAGAAAAAGAAGAAGTAAGTATGGAGGTAGAGGAGGGGACAACAACTCCCCAAGGGATGGAGACATCTGAGGCGGCCACAGGGTCCCAAGATGTCATCCCCCGAGAACCTAGCATTCCCTCCCAGGAGGTGTCCGCACCTCAGGGAGTGGATGCAATGACATTATCAGAGGAGGAAGGCCTCCTCAATGAAGACGACTCCGAAACTGTCAAGGAGTTAGAGGTAGAAGCTGGAAAGCTCAAGCTCACCAAGGAAACCTTGGCGAAAGATGTGCGGTTCCAGAACTAAGAGATTCCTCTGGCTTGTAAGGAGGGGAGTTCCAAGGCAGGAAGCCTATGAGCAGAGCCTCGAGCCACTAGGGAGGAATGAAAATAAAGGGGAGACCAGCAGTAGGCCAAAAAGACCTAGGCAGGACACAACAACCCCCGAAGAAGCTCGTGAGAGGAAAAACAGAAAGAAAGAGAGCTCAGCAGGGGCAACGCCTACTACCCAGGAGGCTACCAGTCAACCCCACAAACTCTCTTATAAACAGGCGACAGAGGGGATCAGAATTGGAGTCATCCACACCAACTACCCCGAGGTCCTGCTTACAAACGAACAGATGGGAGCACTCCAGGAGATCATCTTGACTCTCGTCTGAAGTGAGGCCCCAGAGGAAGGCCTTCGGCCTAGATTCAATGCAGTTTACAGCAGGCAGGGCTATATGGTTCTGGTCTGTGCAAATGAGGAGACGGCTGCCTGGATAAGAACTAAAGGCGAAAGGTTAAGCCTTGAGGGGGGGATAACCGTGAAGGTCGTGTCTGAGGGAGACATTCCCAAGGCAAAAGTCCTAACGGTCTACTTCCCAAACAGTAACCAGTACTCGTCCCAGCAAATCTTGTGGGCACTCAACAGGCAAAACGAAGACCTGCCAGCAGAGACTTGGAGGGCTCTGAGCAGAGTGGAAGTCGAAGGAAACGCAGTGATTTTGGTCCTGTCCATCGACCCAAAGACGGCGGCCAGGATCACCAGGGACCGTCCACTGATTGTGGCCTACAGATTTGGTGTAGTCACGCTTAAGCTGAGGGGCAAAGGTCGGGAGGAGGGAGCTGTTCAATCAGCTCCGGCACCTCGGCCTGAGCCCCCCTTGTCCACCATAACATCAAACGCTGAAGGGGAGGCCACCGTCACTCCAGCGCAGCCACCAACCGCTCCGCCAGCGCAGTCACCAAATGCTCCGCCAGTGCAACCACCAACCGCCACCCTGGGTGCAAAGAAAAACACACCACCCTCAACATCCACTTCCACGGTGAGGTCAGTGGAGTCAAGGAGGGGCGAAGAAAGGAGAAGCCAAGACTCCCGGCACTTCCCTATCTTCGACAGGAGAAACTCCCAGGAAAGGAGAAAGGAGAGGCACAGGGGGCCCTCAACGACAAGAAGGGAGCAGTACCGGCCAAGGAGCAGCTACCCTAGACAAGGGGACAGAAGGGAGTCCTATCACCGTGACAGGAGGGGTAAGAGTGACCCCTCAGACAGGAAACGGGAATGAAGTCCCGATTCATACAGGCCAACCTCCACCATGCCAAAGGTGCTTCAGCAGGCCTGGGCAGGAGGTTTGCCACCGAAGGGCTCGATTTTTCCCTCCTTCAAGAACCCTGGGTAAGAGGAGGAATGATTCGAGGACTTCCAACCCAGGTGGGTAAGCTGGTATACGATAGGGGATCTGCTAACCCTAGGGCCTGCATCCTTATGAACCCTAACAACGTATGCTTAGCTGTTACAGAATTCATCAGCCGTGACTTGGTAACAATCCAAGTCGATTTTGACTCCACTGCAGGGAGGCAAAAAGCTTTAGTTGCCTCAGCCTACTTTCCCAACCCAGGAGAAACTTGTCCTCCGGGGGCGGTAGTGCAGTTGGTGGAGTATGCTAGAAGCAAGAGGATTCCCCTAATCCTCGGCTGTGACGCAAATGCTCACCACACCATCTGGGGGAGTTCGGACACTAATGAAAGAGGTAAGGATCTCCTGGAATTTATATTTAAGGTTGACTTACAGATAGAAAATATAGGTAATGTACCAACCTTCAGAAATAGAATAAGAGAGGAATTTTGGACCTCACCCTATCGTTAAACCTTGGTCACCTGGAAACAAAAGGATGGCACGTCTCTGATGAAGCCTCTCTATCTGACCACTGCCATATTAGGTTTGACTTGATAGCAAGCGTCAAAAGCGTTCTGACTTATAGGGCTCCTAAAACAACAGACTGGGTGGGATACAAGGAATCCCTCAGGGATGAAGGGGCTGCGCAGACCTACTAGGCTGCGAGAAGGCTATATTCTAACCCGGTACTGCACGGGGAGTATCTGCAATACTAAACTGCTTTTAGAGTAAACTAATGATTTTCCCCGAGCAAAGCCCGGACCCCAGATACTGTTATTTAAATAGAGAATATATGTGATATTTTTAAGGAGATATTTTAGTGTAAATCCAATCAGGCAAATGGAAATTTGCTTAGTTTGCAGGTTTGCTGCGGCGGGGGTATTTTATATTTATCACCACATGGTAACTAAGACTGTTTCATAAATAAAGAGTTTCCTAGCAAGACGGGACAACAAATTGTTTGTAATAGATTGGTTTACCTTACATCATATTTTACTGAATAATCATGTACATAAAAAAAACAAAGGAAGTGATTTCCGTCGCTACAATGTTGGTACCTACCTGTATAGATGTTGCAGCTATTTTTAAAGCTGAAAACAGCACCACCTGGCCAAAGAAATCTTGTAGTTTTTTTTTTTTACTAATAATGTTAGACGCGTATCCAATCTACTTTCGTTACAATTTCAAGATCCATGACACGTTTTACCAACGAGTAGGTCCTCGTATTCCTCAAGAAGGTCGTAATTATAAGTACTCACTAGATTGCATCCACTTGCTTACCCTTTTCTATTCCCAACCGGAGACTTTGGTTGGGGCCCCTAATTAAAACACGCCCAAAACAGAACATATTGTAGAAACAATTTAACAATGCTAGAGTATATGTTTTACTGGTTGGCGTCAAGAGAGGATTTTTAGGCTATAATACTTTTCAATGAAATGGCAACCATAGGTATGAAAAGCTCAATTTACAGTGTGGTTGACATGTATGTGAGCATAGAGGGCACCCACCTACAGTAGGCCTACATAAGAGATTACCAAAGCAGTATGAGAGCGGATCTATATTTAAATATAGTAGATTACTTTTATATTATGATATTTTTTCAACATAATATTTTTCAGATTTCTATAATTAGTCTTTAACTAACTTTAGAGTGACTCTTTGAGGTCTTGCTGTTTGTGTTTTTGTTCTTTATTCTTTTATTACAAGTTGCAGTTTTGCTTGATTTCGAGCAACGGGTTATGCAGTACTTATTAAATGGGACCAAACAGTTTCTTGGTAGTTCTTACTCTAGGATTACTCTAATTTGGATAGTTACCTGTATATAAAATTAACAGGCTTAGCATCTTCATCATTTCCTTTCTCATCAGTATCTGGTCTGTCGTGAAGGGGTACATGGGACTGAGTTGCATGTTCAGTTGTTTCAACTTCAATCATTTCTGGTTTCCCATGCTCATCTCTCTCGAATTGAAGCTCAGAAAGAGGATCGTTTTCAGCTGTTGAAGCTTTGTCGCTCTCAGGATTACTACGCACTGAAAAATACAATGTTTCCATCTTTGACTTTCTGAAGAAATATTTTACTTCTTTTAAACTCTCCTTGGTTAAACAGGCACTGACTCCTCTCCTCATTAATCAAGGGGTTTCCTGACTACTGGATACAACTGCAGGATTGTGAATGTTATTGGCAATGGCTTTTTCCTAAAGTGTCAATATTCAATTGGAGAGTAGGTGTACTTGTATTTTAATAGTAATGTGTCACTTAATTTGTGTGTGTATTTTAATAGTTATGTCACTTTAAATGCGTCTTTGTATTCTGGATATGTAGCATATTCCATATAAACTCATGCTTCAAAACTAATTCTATTTATTTCAGTTTAGGTTTGATTGGATAAGGCTTATTTCCTGAACATTTAGGAGACTAAGAACAGGATAAGTAGGCTTAACTTGTAGGCATCACACTTTACTAAAGTAACACAAAAGATAACATAACTGAAACACTGGATATTTCAAGGCCACTGGCCTCTTTCTCATCATGTTGGGAAACAATGTTTTGAAGTGACTCTCAATATTGAGAAAGGGGCCAGTGGCCTTGAAATATCTAGTGTTTTCTGTTATGTTACTTCAGTGAAGTGGGATGCCTACAATCTATAAGGTAAGCTTGTGTATGACTGTTAAATCTTACTAATATTATAAATGTGAAAGTTTGTGTGTTTGTTTGTTTGTTTGTTTTGAAGTTCATCAAGCACATTAACTACTGGACGGATTGGGCTGAAATTTGGCATGATGATAGCTCATATTTCCGTAAAATTTTTCTTAGTGTTTTGGATTGAAACTTCGAACTATTTCTATGTTTGAGTTTGAAGTGCTTCCCCAAAGATGGATACCGTAGGTCCAAATAGGTTTGAATATAATTTTGTATAAAAGTAATTTGTTTTCAACAGATAGTTTTGAATTTCGACCAATAAGCCAATCTAGTTTGTTCGTTTTTTAAATTTAAATGAAGTCGTTTGTTCCAAATGTGTGAATGCCATGTAAGCCGTCCGATATGCATACCAAGGTACTTTCCAACACATGAATAACACTTTTTAGTCTGGTTATACACTGACTATTGTCCAGCAGATTAACTGCCAGACTATTTGGATGATATTCTAATTTTTCTTGGCACTTTTTGCCATGGTCTGTAATTTCTTCTTTCTCTGATTTAAGTTTGAAATCATTCCTAATTGTAGTGTTAGATACGAACCAGGGTGCGCCAATAATTTTTCTCAACCTCATAAGGTGCATGTCACTGGTACGGCTGGAACTGCATCCGTTGGACGACAGTCGTTGAACGACAATCGTAGAGCGCCTGCTTAGCATTGTTTTCAATGGCACCGTAGTCACTGACGCGACTGTAGCCGCAGTCGTATCGCAGTCATAGAAGTCTATGGTACGGGTCTGCTCCTGGAGCAGTCAGAGTCGCAGTCTTTGGACGATTTTTGAGGCATTCACAGCTTTTTCTCGAGAAAGCGCTCTGAGTGTACTCAGCCCTCGATGTTATTCTTATGGAGAATAATTAAAATGTTATATATCGCTTAATTGTTAATGCATTTTATGATACTTGATAAGTGGCTTTATATGGTAGTATTAAGATACACCTACCAAGAGCAATTTTCTCATCTCCTGTGATTGGATAGGGAACGTAGTTTGAACAAGTCATATTAAAATTCTCATTGAACAAACTAGACAAAAACTTAAACTGACATTTTGAAAGTCTGAAAAACTCAGATAACATTCTCTCATCTGCAAGCTGATTGTTAATTTATATTTTGAACTACCCCTCTTCTGTTCGTTTTGTAATTATACCATGTGTGCTAAGTCTTGGAACACTTATTGTTTCCAAAATTTCTCCGTCTTCCAGATCTTCAACTAGGCTATATTTATAACAAACTAGCAGTAGCAGAGTACCCGTTCTTCGTACGGGGTTGGCGTATAAGTATAAAATGCTTATTTCAGTTATACTCTAGCTTTGTGTTTGCAATGGGGAAGGATAAGGCTTGAGAGAATTTGTTTCTTTATATTTACGGACTTACGGTATGCTAATAGTATTACAGATATAGTATAGTATTACACATCTACCATAGCCATTCTGTTCTACCACTGCACCTAAAAAATATAAAAATGTAAATCATCAAACATTCACACAATATCACAAATTATGTATTAAATTAAAAACCTAAACATTACTGTAGGCCTAAAAAATCCTACTTTGACAGTTATCATTGTGCAACACAGCTTTTTGATGCTGCTTACTTCAAATTAGCTGTTATCATAATTGCAAAAAATATAATAGTGCTGAATTTTTTAGAACCATCCTGTTTGGTTGAATCAGCTGACAAAATTATTTAATTCCTATTAAATGTGAATACCCATAAGGCATGGGACTTAATACTACCATATAAAGCCACTTATCAAGTATCATAAAGCCACTGGGGCGGAGCCTGAAAGGAGTTTTGAGATAACAATTTGCCTATATGTTAATCAGGAATGTGAGCTATCATCACCCCAAATTTAAGCCCAGTCCGACCAGTATTTTTCACGTTTACTTGTCACAAACATACATACATACATCCAAACTTAATCACTTATAATATTATTAAGTAGGACGAGCTGTTGGCCCGTCCTACGTACGGGAATCGAGTAGTCAATTAAAACTGAATATGATTCAGTACAGCTAGTTTACCATTTGGTGGCTGATTCAAACACACTGGTTTTGAGTACAGTAGCTACATACTACCTTCCATTACATAAGCCTACTATCACTTACCGTACCTTATTTTACCTCAGTGGCCACTGAAACCTCTAAAAGGATCCTGGTCTCCCGTTCTCTTCTATCCCCTGCCTTTTCTAATGAATATACCAGTCTGAAGATGTCTTTCGTCACTTGGTCTTCCAAGTGGTCGTCTGCCTAGTGGTACTCCTTGGAATACACTTTAAGTTGACGTATCTTCTCTCCACCACGCAAAGCCTGCCCAGCCCGCTTTTTGGTCTACTTTTGGAATGCGCCCCTTTTTCAAGTTTCTACTACTACTTCTTCAAGTACTACTGGGATGGTTATGGTATGGTATGAATCGATTTTGGTTTCTACTGACAGGCTGCAGCTTGTCGTACAGTTTTCTAGAGACCTACTACACCAGTTGACATTTTCATTACGAATAAAAATGTCAGCATGCCGTCATACACATATTAGAACAGCAAGAAAAAAATGTATCAACATGTAATCCACTTATATCTTAAACGATTAAGCGAAACATTTCATGGCATAAACTTACACTTTCACAGATTGCATTTATGACAAAACTTTATTATACGTTTGAAATGTTAAGCTCAAAATTAAATATCTCCTGATTACGCAGATCTTTTGTGGTAGGAAAAAAACTAAATTTTAAGGTGAAATAGTAGGTACGCAATCTCTAACGATCAATGTTTTTGTAAACAAACAGCTTGTAACATAAACATTTCAATGACACTTAGAAACCAGCTGTTAGTTAAACCACCACTGCAACGAAATTAAATTGCTAGCGTAGGCTGCTAGACTTTAAAAAAATTAAAACTTAATTTCTAAAAAACTGAAACCTTAAACTAAAATTATGGCTTTGACATTCCCTAGTTCTCAACTCTTCTCATTCTTTCTTTCAACACAAAAATCATGGAAATCCGTCAAGTGGTTGATTCAGAATCGTGAAATAAAAAACCCTGTCACGTTTTAATATATAAGATAACTGAATAGAATTGTATTTTACTAAAGCCCATAAACTCATAATTCACTATCAACACTCGGCCACAGTCAAGAAGCAACTGAACTATTGTATAATTATCGCACCAGTGACAATGCGTACTGCAACGATTATTGCCGAGCGATAATCGTCCAACGACTGCAGTTCCAGCCGCACAATTGACAATAATGCACCTTTAGCCTGAAATCGTTTAAGAATTTCGATGTTGGATTTGCTCGAGGTCCCCCAAAGATGAATGCCGTATGTCCAAATTGGTTTCGAACTTAATGATAATTTCGAATTTGTACCTAGTAGCCAATTGAGTTTACAAATTTTTAATTCCATTTGCTGTCTCTTGCACCAGATATGAGTTTTCCAATTTAATTTTTTTCAAGAGTTAGACCCAAATATTTTAAACTGTCTGCCTCCATTAAAGCTACATAATTAATGGATACTGGAGGATTGTACTCTGGTCTCAGAGGAAAAACAATATGTTTAGACTTGTTTTCGTTGACTTTTATACTCCACTTTTTAATCCAATATTGGAGCTCATTCAAGGCAGCTTGCATATTAATGGAAGCGACTTGAGGGTCCACATGACTGAAACAGTGCAGTGTCATCAGCGAATGTAGCAACTGTGACGTTGGGGACCGTAGGGATGACTGCTGTGTATATTAAATATAGCAAGGTTCCAAGGACACTCCCCTGAGGTACTCAAGACTGTATAGCCCTCAGATCAAATAACAAATTTTTGAATTTTATTTGAAAAGATTGATTGGTCAGATATGATTTTAGAAGGTTATACGAAGAGTGAGGGAGAGACGTTTTGAGTTTAAACAGAAGTCCAACATGCTACACCTTGTCAAAAGCCTGTTGTACATCCAAATAGCTTATTCCCTATTTAGGAAATTCGCTAAAATGCAGCAGAACAGTACTTTTTTTCTAAATGTGTTTTTTATAATATTCACTAATCTGTGAGTTTGTTGACTGGTGGAATGTTGTTTGCAGAAGCCGAACCGATGATTGGGTATTAAGTTTAATTCATCTACAGTGGGGGTTAACCTTTTGAGTATTACCTTTTCAAACAATTTGGTTACTATAGGAAGCAAGCTTATGGGTCTGTAATAAGATGCGTCATAAGTTGGTTTGCCTGGTTGTGGGTTTACAACTATTTGTGCAATTTTCAGTTAAACAGCAAAATATTCCAATTGTAACATAGCATTAAATATAAATGTCAACAACATAATTCCTTTTCGGGGCAGTTCTCTTAGAACTTT